TGGGTGTGTGCGGCCACGGGGGAGGCCTCGGCGAGCACCTGTCTGACAAGATAGGTGCAGGGAGGGTGGACGGCACCACGCGACGGCTGACGCGGTCCTGTCCCCTGCCCCGGAGTCTGCTGCTGCCGCTGTTGCTGTTGCGGCTGCTGCGAGAGGAGTGGCGGCTGCTGCGAGAGGAGTGGCTGCTGCTGCTGCTGCCGCTGAGTCATGTACCAAGCCGCCATTTCAGCACCTGCACCTGGTGAACCAGCAGGTGCCTAACAAACCCGAGCGTCACCTCCACCAGCTGCAGCAAGGGAGTCACTAGCCGCTGCACGAGTGGCTCCTCCAACCTCTTTACTCCTGCCACCACCGCTCGCCACGCCACCTCCGCCGCCTCCTCCGCCTCCGCCCGCACCCTGACCGCCCCTCTTGCCACTCCTACCGTAGACCACGAAAAAGTCGTAACAGCAGCTGCGGTCACATCAGTAGCGGCAGTGGCGAGGGAGGCAGTAAAGGTGCGCAGCTGAGGGACAGTGCACCCGTGAAACGGTGGAGGGGGCACAGCACCAGAGGCGGATGCTACCGATCGGAGGTTGCTCTCGACGTCCTTTAGGGCAGACTCAAGGACCTCGATAGTAAGCTCACTAGGGTGCTTCAGAAGAAGCGCGTCACGAGCCGAGGCATGGCGGTCAGAGAGGCTAGAGGTGATGAAATAGATAGTAATGGCCCTAGGGGGAGGGAGCAGTGCAAGTTGTGCGTTAGTGCAGGCAGCGCGGTAGCTAGAATCGAGCGAGCACATGTGAGCAATCAAGTCAGCAGAGCGCTCAAACAAGGCGAGGTAAGGAAACAGGAACGGGAGGAACAGTCGACCAAGAGAGACAGGTGGTGGGAGTAGCATAGCGGGCCTTGATCGCAGTCAGGAACTCACTAGCCACCTGAGTGAAATGGGCCTCCTCAGACTTAGGGAGGAAGCTGCTGAGGGTGATGCAGGCCGCAGCGTCACGCGACTTCCACGCTGTCAGGTTAGCACGCTGGCGGGCATAACGGTCTCTGTCTGCACTGCTTGGGTCAGCGCCTAAGGGTGCAGGGTTGTTGGGCTTAGGAAGGTCGCCGAAAGTGTGCGCCTACAGAGATTCACCTGCCTGAACCAGACTCACCTGCCTCAACCTGACTCACAGACCGCAGGAGCCAGACCGAGAACTCAATCGGCCTACCCTCGGCGTCAAAGCGCAGGACCCTAGGGGTCGCCATAGCGGAAGCAAAGAGGTGGGAACTGCTGCTGCCAAAACCCTAAACGCCTAAAGGGCTTGCGTAGGGCGTGACAGGCAGTGCGTGAGGCTCAGGGCACGGCAGAACGGCAGGGTAGGGCGCGACACGGCAGGATGGGCAGCGCGGCGCTAAGGGACATGACGGGCGCAGGGCAGGACGGGAAGCGCGCGGCGCGGCGCGGTGCCGCACGGCAGGCAAGGCGGGATGCGCGCGGCTCGGCGCTGCGCGGCAGGCAGGACGGGACGGGCGCGGTGTGGCGCTACGGGACGGTCATGCAGGGCAGACGGGACGTGCACGATGGGCTAGACGGGACGGGACAGACGCGACGCGACGGACGGAACAGATGCGACACGACGGGCGGGACAGACGTAACGCGGCGCGACGGACGGGACGGACGCGACGCGACAGACAGGGGCGACGCGATGGACGGGATAGACGGGACGGGGGCGACGCGGCGGACAGGCGCAACGCGACGGACGGGACGGGCAGTGGGGGGGGGGACGCGACGCGAAGGGGAAAGCGGGCGCGACGCGACCAACAGGCGCAGCGGGCACTAGGGAACGGTACGAGCGTGACTAACATTAGGGTACGGGACAGGCTCGGGCGTTACGGGCGTGAGCGGGAAGAACAGGATCCCACAGGATCCGAACCTAGGTGATACCATATCAAGAACTGAATGATGGTTTCACTAAGGTTGGTTGGGGTACATAAATCTAACCCTAACTGTTGTACAACATAAGACACATATCACTAAGACTGTAACATCTGTAACTACACTTTAAAAAGTGGGGTAGGCTAGGAAAGTAGATCTGAGACCAGATGTTATGAATGAACCCACGGAATGCGCAGCTTAATGATTAACGAGATTGTTGAACTACAAAATGCCTTTACAATGAAAACAGAGATACTAAATAAGGGAAGTCCTACCTAGGCGAAGAGGTCGGGAAAGGGTGGCTCGCGAAAGGTCGCGATTGGTGCGGAGGCGACTCGGTGTGGTTTGGATGCGGAAATGTAGGCCAAACCATCTGACGCATTGCCCGCGGATTGTACTTTCTAAAACGCGGGTACAAGGAATTATAATTCCTTACATCATTCCTTATTATTCATTCTACAGTTACCATTGTAACATTGGTATCGATCTAGATCGATTCGTTGAGCTCACCGGCCCGTGCCCCGCCAGATCCCGTAGCGCCCCGTAGTTATAAGCGCCCCGTACCCGCAGCGCCCGTGTAGCTCGCGCCCCCGTCCCCTCCCCGTCGCGCCCCCGTCGCGTCCCCGCTACCTCCCCGCTACCTCCCCGTCGCCTCCCGTCGCCTCCCCGTCCCCTTCCCCCGTCGCGTCCCCGTCACCTCCCGTCCCTTCCCCGTTCTCCTCCGCGTCGCATTCCCGGCTTTCGTCGGCTCCCCGTCCCCATCCCCGTCGCGTCCCCGTCCCTCCCCGTCGCCTCCGCGTCGCATCCCCGTCGCCTCCCGTCGCCTCCCCGTCCCCTTCCCCGTCACGTCCCCGTCACCTCCCGTCCCCTCCTATGTTTCTTGAGCAAATGCCTGAATCGCCATCGTGACCTTGGAAACGCATACGGGAGGAGCAACAGCAAACGGGGTGAAGAAATGTCGTCGCCGACTGCAGCGACAGTGGCGCGGCGACGGCGCGGACTGAGTGGGCCCCGCGCGGCGTCGCCGCCCCCTGGAACCGGTACGCCATTGCCGTGGCGGCAGCAGCAGCGCTGGTGGCACGCAGGCCGCTGTCGCCTCTATAGAATGTGACAGGGGCTCTTTTTTCGCTCGTGATCCTACTAATGTATAACGTGTCCTCCCTGCTTCATGCGTGCTGTTCCCATTCGTAGCCATTGCCTTCCCACGCCATTCAAGTCGACCGAATCTCACATCACATCGTCCCCCGTCCACCTCCCGCGTCTGACCCCCCCAGTATCGCGGTGGGGTCAGCAACGCGCGCTCAAGGCGGCACTGCTGGCGGCGCTGGGCGCGGCGTGCTGCATCGCGTTTCTGCGCGCCGGCCTGCCGTTTCGCGACCAGTCGACGCACGCAGACGAGGACTCCTTTTTCCAAGTAATTGCTCATCTCTCTTAACTCGTCTGCGCACAACCCCCCACATTTCCATCTCCTTCGCCTCCCCTCCTGTTCCATGTGCAACCCTCTCCTCGCTCTGCCCCACCTCTCCGCACTCAGCCTCACATCTCCCCCTTCTGCCCCAACTCCCCTCTCCTGCCTCACCTCTCCGTTGGCTTCCCCGCCTGCCTCCGCGCCCATTATCTTGACCACAGGCGGACGAGGGTGGTCAAGCGGGTGGCGTGGAGGAGGATGGGTGGCCGGTGATGGGCGGGGTGAGGTGGAGGGGGTGTGCGGGACGAGCCACTGCACTGCCTGCTGCCATGGGTGAACTCTCAAACCATGCATCTGCTCTCCCATGCATGCATTTGACAAGCCACTGCACTGCCTGCTGCCATGGGTGAACTCTCAAACCATGCATCTGCTCTCCCATGCATGCATTTGACAAGCCACTGCACTGCCTGCTGCCATGGGTGAACTCTCAAACCATGCATCTGCTCTCCCATGCATGCATTTGACAAGCCACTGCACTGCCTGCTGCCATGGGTGAACTCTCAAACCATGCATCTGCTCTCCCATGCATGCATTTGACAAGCCACTGCACTGCCTGCTGCCATGGGTGAACTCTCAAACCATGCATCTGCTCTCCCATGCATGCATTTGACAAGCCACTGCACTGCCTGCTGCCATGGGTGAACTCTCAAACCATGCATCTGCTCTCCCATGCATGCATTTGACAAGCCACTGCACTGCCTGCTGCCATGGGTGAACTCTCAAACCATGCATCTGCTCTCCCATGCATGCATTTGACAAGCCACTGCACTGCCTGCTGCCATGGGTGAACTCTCAAACCATGCATCTGCTCTCCCATGCATGCATTTGACAAGCCACTGCACTGCCTGCTGCCATGGGTGAACTCTCAAACCATGCATCTGCTCTCCCATGCATGCATTTGACAAGCCACTGCACTGCCTGCTGCCATGGGTGAACTCTCAAACCATGCATCTGCTCTCCCATGCATGCATTTGACAAGCCACTGCACTGCCTGCTGCCATGGGTGAACTCTCAAACCATGCATCTGCTCTCCCATGCATGCATTTGACAAGCCACTGCACTGCCTGCTGCCATGGGTGAACTCTCAAACCATGCATCTGCTCTCCCATGCATGCATTTGACAAGCCACTGCACTGCCTGCTGCCATGGGTGAACTCTCAAACCATGCATCTGCTCTCCCATGCATGCATTTGACAAGCCACTGCACTGCCTGCTGCCATGGGTGAACTCTCAAACCATGCATCTGCTCTCCCATGCATGCATTTGACAAGCCACTGCACTGCCTGCTGCCATGGGTGAACTCTCAAACCATGCATCTGCTCTCCCATGCATGCATTTGACAAGCCACTGCACTGCCTGCTGCCATGGGTGAACTCTCAAACCATGCATCTGGTCTCCCATGCATGCATTTGACAAGCCACTGCCCTGCGTGCTGCCATGGGTGGGTGGGTCATTCGTGACGCTGATCTCTCAAACACATGTGTCTGTAGCTGTCACACGTGTGTAATGAGCGTGCCTGTCTCCTTTGCGATGCACCTGTGAAGTACAGCTGTGTGTTTGCTGTATTCCCCTCTACTCTCCCGCGCTCATCCTCTCTTCCATGTTAGCTCCAAATGCCTCCTTTTGTTCATGCATGCTTTTCGTGCTAACCTGCCCGCCATCTGCTCTACTGTGTGCGCAGCCGGCAGAGGAGGGGAGGACCAGGGGGGCTATTTGGTGGTGCAGCTGGCAGGGGGACTCAACCAGATGCGCGCAGGGGTGGGTGGGGGGCTCTCAACCTCGTTTCCCAGCCTCGTTCTCATGCTCGCTCCCTCCCGCCCCTGCTCTCACTCACGTTCTCCTCACCTGTTGCTTTGCTGCCCTAAACAGTTACCCTGCACTTCTCCCCAACCCCTCCACCCTCCTTCCCCCACTTCCCCTCACTCTACCCCTTTCCCCCCCGGGCCTCCCATCCCTCCACCCCTGACCCCCCTGCCGCTCCCCCATGGGGGAGCAGATCTGTGACGCGGTGGTGGTGGCAAAGCTGCTGGGAGCGTCGCTGATGCTGCCGTTGTTGGATAACTCCTCCTGGTGGGCCGACGGCAGGTGAGGTCCATGGCAGGTGAGGTCCATGGCAGGTGAGTGGATAATGAGACGTGGCTGATGAGGTGTGAGAATGAGAGTGGGCGAGCAGCACCGTTGGTGTTGGTGGAATGGAAGGACTGCCCAATCACCACACCGCGTGCCCCCCTCATTCATTCCCCTACCTCCCTCCCACCGTCCACATCCGCGCTTCCTACACCTCCCACCCCAGTTGTCCGCATCGTCCTTTCACGTTGAACGTTCCCCACCACCCGCCCTCGGCAGCACATTTGCGGACGTGTTTGACGCGGGGCACTTTGCGCGGGTGCTGGCGCCGTGGGTGCGCGTGGTGGACCGCCTGCCCTCCGCGCTGCGCCACCGCCCCCCCCTCGACCGCACCGTGCCGCGCGGCTCCACTGCTGAGTACTACGAGACACGCGTCAGAGCGATGATCAGGTGCTGTGCCAGTCAGAGCGATGATCAGGTGCTGTGCCAGTCAGAGCGATGATCAGGTGCTGTGCCAGTCAGAGCGATGATCAGGTGCTGTGCCAGTCAGAGCGATGATCAGGTGCTGTGCCAGTCAGAGCGATGATCAGGTGCTGTGCCAGTCAGAGCGATGATCAGGTGCTGTGCCAGTCAGAGCGATGATCAGGTGCTGTGCCAGGCTGTATGAGTAAAAGTGGCTGTGGCTGTGGCTGTGGCTGATGGCACTGGCACGGATTCGTTGAAAGCACATGATGGCAGCAGTAATTAATTAGGCACTACTTTTCGTCCAAGCGTCATCCACTGTTCCTATCTTTCTCTGTTTTTACCCTTCCTGCCTCAATCGCTCCCGCCTTCTGTACTGCTGTCCCTTCCCCATCCCATGCGACATGCTCTGTTCTCTCCCGTCCCCCTGCCCCGTGTCTACTTGGCAGAAAGGCGCAGGTGCTGAAGCTGAACCATTTCGATTCCAGGCTGCATGATCACCTCCCGTTACACCTGCAGAAGGTACCAGCTCCGAAACCTATCCGTGGTTCAACATTTCTTGTTTCTCCTTTTCGTTCTCTTTCCGAGCAAGCTTACGAGATCAATGGAACAGGTACCACGATACAGAGATTGCCGCATGCCCATGTTGACTACCCTTAGGTGCCATGACCTGATTGCACGGTTGGTAAACCACGTGGCTACTCACCCACTCTATCCATTGTTCCCTTCTCCTGCCACTGTATCATCCCCCCCTCCTCCTCCCCCCCACACCCCCTGTCTCCCCCATCTTCCTCTCCCCCTCCACCCCACCCTCTGTCCCCCCTGGCAGCTGCGCTGCGTGGCAAACTACGAGGCGCTGCGCTTCGTGCCGGCGGTCACGCAAGCCGTCACGCGCCTCACCCACGCGCTCACCCACCCCTCCGCCACAGCCGCCACCACTGCCCTTGACCCCGCTGCTCAGGCCGGCGGTGCTGCAGCAGCAGCGCAAGGCACACAAGGGCAGCGGGGAGAGAGGGAGCAGGTTGAGGGAGGGATGCAGGCGAAGGGGAGTGGTGGGGCGGTCAAGTATGTCGCGATTCATCTGAGGTACGACGGACATGGGGGGTGACATGGGCATGGGGGGTGACATGGGCATGGGGGGTGACATGGGCATGGGATGAAATAGGAATGGGAGGTGACCTCTGTGCTCCGGTATAGTTAACCTCACTCGATTGTGCCATAACCTTTCACTTTCCGGTGCCTTTTGTGTGTCTTTGCCATCTGTTGTTTAAGAGACCATTTGCAACTTCCATGCATCCTGTGCCAAGCGCAAGGCGATATCCATGCAACTGCACATGGTGCAATCGATCCATGCCATGTGTTCCCTCCATGCCATGTGTTCCCTCCATGCCATGTGTTCCCTCCATGCCATGTGTTCCCTCCATGCCATGTGTTCCCTCCATGCCATGTGTTCCCTCCATGCCATGTGTTCCCTCCATGCCATGTGTTCCCTCCATGCCATGTGTTCCCTCCATGCCATGTGTTCCCTCCATGCCATGTGTTCCCTCCATGCCATGTGTTCCCTCCATGCCATCCCATGCACAACATGACGTGCCATGCGCCATAGCAGGTACGAGCCGGACATGCTGGCATTCACGGGGTGCGAGTACGAGGGGGGCGCGGAGGAGAAGGTGCTGTTTGAGTCCATTCGACAGCGCTGGGCCAACCTGCCCGCCATGGACGCTGAGAAGCAGAGGGCCAAGGGCATGTGCATCGTCACCCCCTCCCAGGCATGTGCATCGTCACCCCCTCCCAGGCATGTGCATCATCACTCCGTTGCATGCCATGCCATTAGCTGCTTTTCCTGCCCATACCATGCCATGAGCCACTGAGCACATGGGCAACCACAGTCGGCATTGAGTGCAGCACGCTCTCTACCACTGCAATGCCACCCACTGCCACAACCATCCACCCTCTCACGTCTTTTCAACCCCTCCCCCCCCTCTCCTCTGCATGTCCGTGTCCGCAGGTGGCAGTGGCCTTGCAGGCGCTGGGCTTGCCACCGTCCACGCGCGTGTACATCGCGTCGGGGGCACTGCACGGTGGGGCGGCGGCGCTGCAGCCGCTGCTGCACGCCTACCCCTTCACCACGGACAAGCACTCCCTCGCACACTCCCACGCCATGGCCCACGCCCGCACAGGGGGGCGCGACGATGACGACGATGAGGGGGATGAGGCATGGGGTGCGGGTGGGGGCGGGAGCAGGGAAGAGGGGGTGAGGGGGGAGGGGGGAAGGGCGTTGGCAGGGGTGGAGGGGCGCAAGACGCTGCTGGCGGCGGTGGACTATGAGATGTGTCGCGGGGCAGCGCTGCTCGTCACCAACAACAATGGCAACATGGCCCACCTGCTAGCGGGCCACAGAAGGTGCTCCCTTGGGGGGACTTGCTGTCCTGGGAGCATGCGAGCTTCGCAAGCCGTTTGACTGATGTTTGCCTCTTTTCCCTGTCCTCAATAAGCCAATATTTCTCCCCCGCAGACCTCTACCACAACAGCTCTCTTCCCCTCCCTCTCCCTCCACGTCTCCCCCACCTCATCCCCTTCCCCGCCGCATGCGGCCACCCATAGGTACAACGGGGTGGGCGGCACGGTGCACCTCTTTGGCTCCTCCATCCACTGCTTCCTTGCTGCCATCCAACATGGGGATCACGAGGCTTCTCAGAAGCTTCGCAATCGACTGCTCAAGGGCGACCTGAGCAGTGAGAGGGAGAGCAATGAGAAGGCTGCAGCGAGAGGAGGGTTTTACGCATTTCCACGGGATTGTTTGTGTCAAGTCTGATTTTCCCGTTGCCTTCCGTAGTGTTACCAGCTGATCATGATTCTTCATGCGGAACGGAATGGTACCTATCCATGAGCTGAGTGCTCACATTTCTCACCAGCAGTGCCCACACCGCAACCCGTTGGCTCCACATGCGCTCACACCGCAACCCGGTGGCTCCACATGCGCTCACACGCAAGGGTAAAGCACAAGGACTGTGGGAACATGGCAGTGCATGTCTTGGGTCATGCAGGTGCAGGTGTTGGGGAAGGGGAGCTTGGGGCACATATGCAGGTGGCGTGTGCGCCGCACACAGCCTATAGCACTCGTGGGGAGAAGGGCAGTCAGCAGCTGATTCGGAGCGAGAACGCCTCGTGTGTGCCATGAGGCAGGCAGACATAAAGAACAATGGTGCTGTTGCCCAGGGGTAAGCGGGTTCAGGGTTTAGGGGGTGAAGGTTCTGGCAAGAAGTGAGGGCAGGGTAATGTAGAGAGGAGAATATGAATGTGAATGGAAAGCTATGCAATGCAGGTGACCATGTAGTGGCGTGAATGAAGCGGTTCAGTTGAGTTACGCTGGAGCAACACAGAATGCAATCGTTGAATCGGAATTGGTACAGCGGATCAGTAATGGTACTCACATACACAAGGGCAGGGAGGCTCCTCTTCATGCCTCACATGCTCCCGCACATGGCAGTCCTGAGAAGACGTGCTCGCCATCACGGCAGTGGCAGCTGGCCTGTCAGCAAGTGCCAACATGGCATGGCTAGTGAGCTGGCAGCAGCAGTGCAGCCCCAGGCCTTGCTGCAAACCCTAGTAGAATGTTGCAAGTGTCAAGATAGCAAACAGGAATGGTTGCATTGAATGAATTGTGGATACAAGTACTAACCCTAATATTGGGTTGTACCCCATATAGGCTACCCCACTACAGCCTACATAATCTAGCATAACATACACTGTTTGACACACCCCCATAGGCAAAGTGGGGAGAACAAAGGGTCACAAGACCAGTCAAGAAAAGCAAAGCAAGCTCAGGGTGGATCACAACGTCACCACACACTCCGAGCACAAGCAAAGGGCCACAAGGCCAGTTCACATGCAGAGGTATACATGCAACAACAATAGTACAGTGATCACTACCTAGCAAGAACAAGCATGCAGGTGTATATATAAATCATGGTACAAGCAAAGAAACAAAGTGAGCAAGTGAGATGAAACAGGCACAAGGCCTAACACAGTACAGAAGCGCTGATGATCACCAGACGGAAGTGCCTTGGTGAATATATCAGCAGTGTTGGCCCGAGTGGCCACGTGAGCAAGACGAAGCTGACCACGCTGCTGCAACTCTCGAGCCAGGAAGTAACGGAGAGCGATATGCTTCGTTCTGTGCTCCAGTATGTGCTCCTAACACAAGGCAATGGCAGCCTTGTTGTCGACGTACAGAACTGGAGGAGAACGAAGCCTCTCTCCCAAGTCGGTCAGTAGGTAGGTGAGCCAGCGTAGCTCCTGTGCAGCCATGGCTGTGGCGTAGATCTCAGCCCCACAACTAGAGCTGAGAACAGAAGACGAGCGGGTAGACCGCCAAGAAACTGAGCCGCAGCCAAGGCTGAAAGTGTAACCCTGTGACGACCGCTGCGTAGCCAGGTCGTCAACCCAAGACGCGTTTGAGTGTTCAGTGAGGACAACCTCACCCAGTCCTCCAAGCACGGGCCCCATGCCCGATGTACTGCACAAGTAGCGCAACACCCTCTTAGCACCCTCCCAGTGCTCTCGCTGGTGTCTCCCAGGCGCAACGTAGCGAGCCAGGATGCTAAGGGGGTAGGCAAGGTCAGGTCGAGTGCAGGTCATTAGGTACATGAGGCAGCCCACAAGCTCTGGATACGGGTCACTCGGCTCTACGGACTCGTCCAAAGGTGGAGCTGAGAGGGAGTGACCGGTAGCCATAGGAGTTGACTGTGGCGAGGACCAAGTGAAGCCAAAGCGCTGAAGGACCTGCTGCACCATGTGTGACTGAGTCAGGGTGATGGTGCGCCGTGCTCTGTCCCGGGTGATCTGCAAGCCAAGGTAGCTGCGTAGCTCACCCAGGTCTGTGCACGTGTGTCTCTTCTGCAGCTCCGACTTCACAAGGGCGAGTGCCTCGTTGTCAGCAGTAGCAAAGACCAAGTCGTCGACATACACGAGGATGTAGAACGGTGGCAGCGAAGTTTCGGTGCGCAGAAAAAGCGACGGGTCAGCTGTCGAAGGAGCAAACCCAAGAGTCGCAAGTGTCGACCTCAGCGTGTCGTGCCACTCATGAGGTGCCTGGCGGAGACCGTAGACTAGCCGCCGGAGGCTCCACTGGGTACCTGAAGGAAACGACCGAGTCAAGCCAGGTGGGCGGCGCAGCCAGATCTCCTCGTGCAGGCTGCCGTGCAAGAAAGCAGTGCTGAAGTCAAGGGAGTGAAGCTCGTAGTCACGCTGAGCGGCAACGCGTAGCAGCACCCGAAGAGTGGTCATCTTCGGGGTAGGGGAGAAGGTCTGGAAGAAGTCAACTCCCTGTTGCTGACTAAAGCCTTGTGCGACGTAACGAGCCGTGAAGACATGCGGAGAACCCGGCGGCCGCTTCACCCTGAAAATCCACATGCCATCGACGATGTTCGCCCCAGGAGGGGGAACCTCATCGACGTAAGTGCCTGTGGACTTCCAGGATGCCATCCCTGCGTCCATGGCTGTCTGCCACTAAGAGGGGTAGGGACCCGTAATCGCCTCCGCGTAACAGCGCGGGGTCGGGATGTCTGGTGCATCCAGGTCTCCCTCAGGTGCAAGCTGCATGGCCACGAGATGAGGTACAGCAGCCGCAAGACACTGAAAGTCCTCCTGCCTATCCTCAAGGATGTCCGTGCCAAGAGCACAATCACCCCCGACGAACGGAGGACAGACAGACTCAGACTCAGCAACAAAACTAGCGGCGTAGTCGAGACCACAAGCAACAACGAAGTCAACAAGCTCTGCGACTAAGGCAGACGCAGCAGTGGACTCAAATGAAGGGTCAGTGACAATAGTGGCTAAGAGACGCGAAACAGTAGGACTGGCAGCACTGTCAGAGGTCCACTGGAGATCCCCGATTGATCCTAGGGAAGGGTTACAGGCATGTTGGCCTGGGGGGTTATGGGCGCACTCACCCGCTACACAAACAAGCCCTTTTATCCCAGTGGTTAGTGGCTGGGATTCTGACATGGTATCAGAGCGAAGGTCTTGGGTTCGAATCCCGGTGTGTGCACTTCGGGCATCCCAGTGCGGGGGGGGGGGGTGTCAGAGGTCCACTGGAGATCCCCGATTGATCCTAGGGAAGGGTTACAGGCATGTTGGCCCGGGGGGTTATGGGCGCACTCACCCGCTACACAAACAAGCCATTTTATCCCAGTGGTTAGTGGCTGGGATTTTGACTCCACGAACTAGGTCAGACTCAGGGTCCGGAACATGCGGAAGAGAGGACGCAGGGGGAGACGGCAAGGGAACACGCAGTGGAACAGAGGAAGGACGAAGTGCCATAGTATCCATGCCGGGGACAGGAGGAGGACGCTCACGAGCAACACGACGACCAGTGTGATGAGCGTGAACAGGCGAGGCAGGACAAGCCACAGGCTCACAACGCTCTGTAAGCGAGTCTGTCTGCTCAGTGTAAGGAGAAGGAGCAGGCAGTGGAGAGCCTGGCTGTAACGGGAGACCAGTAGAAGACGGGAGGCTAAGAACCTGGCAAAGCGCGGAGTCAGACGGTGGTAGAGACGACGGTGACGGCGGAGCGAAGAACAGTCGCGGCTATGCAGTACCACCAGCACCAGCACCTCCAGTACGAGTACCAGTTGCTCCAGCGCCTCCACCAGCTCCAGAACCTCCATCTCCAGCGCCTCTAGCTCCAGCGCCTCCAGCTCCAGTACCTCCAGCTCCAGCGCCTCCAGCTCCAGCGCCTCCAGCTCCATAGCCCGCAGCACCACAAGCTCCGGCAGCTCCAGCACCTCCAGAACGAGCACCAGCACCTCTAGCGCCTCCAGCTGCTCCAGAACCTCCAGCTCCAAAGCCTCTAGCAGTAGCACCCCCAAAACCGGCACCTCCAACTCCAAGGTCTTCCACTCCAGGGTCGACAGGATCGGCTCCAGGGCCTCCAGCTCTAGTGCCTCCAGGAGCAGCACCCCCAAAACCGGCACCTCCAGCTCTAGGGTCTCCAACTCCATGGTCGACAGCACCAGCTCCAGGGCAACCAGCTCCAGTGCCAGCAGCAGTACCCCCAGAACCGGCACCTCCAGCTCCAAGGTCCCCAGCTCCAGCGCCTCCAGATCCAGTGCCTCCAGCTCTGGCACCTCCAGCAGAAGTGCCTCCAGCTCCAGTAGCACGACTCCGAAGGCGGGTGCGTGAAGCAAGCCACTCGCGCAGCTGCTGCGGCGAGAGAGGTGACCGCTGCAACGCGGCACCAGGAGGACCTCTAGCAGAGTCAGCACCCCTAGGCTCAGCACCAACAGACTCCGTACCCCCGGGGCCAGCACCTCGAGGGCCAGCACCTCCAGCTCCAAGGTCTCGAACTCCAACACACGGGTCTCCTGCTCCAGTGCCTCCAGTACCACAAACCCCGGCAGCTCGAGTACCTCCAGGACGAGCACCTCCAGGACCCTCAGCGCCAGCAGTACCAGCACCTCCAGCTCCAGCAGCACCACCCGTCCTGGCAGCTCCAGTACCTCCAGTACGAACACCTCCAGAACCAGAAACACCAGTACTCCCAGCGCCTCCACGACGAGCAGCACCACCCGCAGCAGCCAAGGGGAGTGGGTCTACCTGAGACACACTTGAAGGAGCAGGACCCTGGGGGGGGAGGGGGTCTACCGGAGGGGGGCTTGGAGCAAGGAAAAGCAGCGGGGGAGGGAGGGGGGCAGTGCGGTAGGGGAAGAGACGGTAGAAAGGAACCGACTCGTCAAAGGTGACGTCCTGAGAGGGGAAGACACGGCGCGAGGTGGGGTGGTAAAACTGCCAGCCAGGCCTGAGGTGGGGTGGTAAAACTGCCAGCCAGGCGCGTCAGGGACAAAGCCAAGGAAGACATAGGGAATGGTGCGGGAGGAAAGCTTGTCCGCGGACGTATCGCGGACAAGAGCACGAGCACCCTTGACTCGGAAACGCAACGCATCGCCAACTTCTCCCGTCCAACGAGTGTGGGCGAGGTCTCCGGCCAGGAGACACGAGGCCGGAGGTTGAGCTGCTGCGCGGCGTACCGGACTGCAAACGGCCACAGAAAATGGGGAGCCGCCGCATGGATCAAGGAGGTACGCGTGATCTACATGACCAAGCCAATGCGGCGCTCAGCAACCCCATTTTGCTGCAGTGAGCCCGGAAGCATGAACGACTGCTCGATGCCCTCCCCCT